TCAACTCACCCACCTCTTCGCCAGCTATGGTCGGTCATAATGGTTTGGCTACCTATGGTTAGCTTACAAGTCAACCCATCACACTTGCGTCCAAACAAACTCATCTATACACATGTACATTATATAGCTTAAACAAAATGCGTAAAATAAATACAATACAACATTAATACATATGAAACGATATGAAAGTTTTCAAGCTTTAGATTCTCTTCATTTGGCTCCTAATAATGGGTCCACCTAAATTTAAAGTAGATCTCCTGGATTGTTCTCTAATAAGGGCCCTGGTGCTTTTGAGCCCCACCTTAGGTCCACCACCTGTAATTGTAGCCCCATCTTGGGTCCACCTCTTATGCTTGTGGGCCCCACCTTCAAGTCAGCATAATGTGTCATCCTTTACCTTAGTGACAACTAGATTGGTACGAGACATGGAGAGACAGGTCAGACATTGCAGAATGTGTCATCTAACTAAGACGCAGAGGTAGAATACATGTCTCTATAAGTCGCTTACAATTTATAAATTATCTCGGGTGAGCTGTGAGCATCGACTTATTTGTGGGTCTCCCACAGATCCAACAGTAAAAATGCAATTATGATAGTAGTGGACCACTTCTTCAAGATGTCACATTTTGCACCTTGTTATAAGATAATGGATGCTTATATATCACAAACAAGAATTTCAGAAAAAATTTGCGTACGTCAAGGGATACGCAGAGATGTGTACATAATAGGGTACACGGGGTTTATACGGGGATTACAAGAGGGTTATAACCCGTTGTACCTCCCGTGTAACTCCCGTGTAACCCAATGGATAAAATAATGGATAAAATAAAAGCGCGGGTTACAACTGAGTTACACGAAAGTTACAAAGAAGTTAGAACACGCTTGTAACTCCCATGTAACTCTCATATAACGCCCGTGTACCCTATTATGTACACATCTCTGCGTACCCCTTGACGTACGCAAATTTTTTTCAAGTATTTCAGGGAGATGATCAGCTTTTAGAGTGTGACCAGGACCATCACTTCAAATAAAGCAGCAAAAATTTTTCAATTAGATTTGGAGGACTAATGAAATAAGTTAGGTAAAAAGCCTCACCGTTGTTCAACAACGCATATCCAATAGATAGACAAACAAATGTGATGAATTGGAGTTTACATGATCTACTCTAGTGCTTTGTGGGAAAAAATATCAAACAATGAGACTTGGTCCTTTCCCAGATCGAGTTTGATTATACTTATTCCATCAATCACTCCACAAGTCACAAGCCCTTTGAGATTGTATATATGTGAAATCCTCCAATGCTATTGAAGCAAACGCTAATACTACCCCTTATCAAGCTTGGCACTAATGTCGAGACTAAAGTTAGAGAGATTCAGGCCCTTCACGATCATATGAGAAAGAAAATTACCAAGCGGAATATCAAGTCTCAAAAGTAAGCCAATAAGTTTAGGATATCTCAATACTCCTCTCACTAGAGGAGAATGACACAAGCATCTGCACTGGGCAGGATGCAAGATAGGTAAAACTCCCGTAACTGGGAGTTCCAGTTCGATTGAGTGAACTGATTAAACTTGTGAGGTGGTCTAGGTTGACCACCCCTTGGACTCCTATTTGCCTTATTAGGATATTATTTAGGTCATTTATTTGAAGATATATATATATATATATATATAAAGGACAGTATCCTTTATTTTGGAGGCCCACGACTCCAATACTCCAATATTTTTTGCCACTATTATTTTTTGGGTGGGTTGTACTGGCTCGATTTGCTGGATTTTGGTGGTAGTTTTGCGGGGTGTTTATCTTGCCTCGGGTTGTCTGTTTTTGCTGTTTAGATTTTTGAAGGAACTTGGACCACAATGATTTTTATTTTCATTTACACTAACCAATGCCTTCATGTTTCAACCCTTCAGAGATGCAGGTTTTTGGAGGTTGCTTCGTCGGGTTCCTGCCCTCATAAAGTTGCTCTTCGCCTTACAAGTTTTCTTACTTTGATTTTTTTCTTATACATGTTCATTTTGGGTATACGTCATTTATTTGGGTATACATTTTGGTTTGATACATGTATTTTTTGGGCATATCTCCTTTTGGATACCCTTTTTATCCTTTTTGGGTAGAGTTGTACTGAGAAAAACAGAACTCCTAGGATGCTTTGTTTTTATTTTATAGAGGGGATCCTGGTTTTCTCAAAAATCTTTGTAATCGCATATTTTGAAATTAACACGTAAGGAGCCACGAGTTGCTCCCCCATATATATATATAAACTTTTTTATTTTTGGCTTATGCATTAGAGATTACTTTCTTTGGTTTTTCTTTGTTGGAGAAGTGTATGACGTGTCTCTCTCGGACGATATGCTTGTACCTAATTAGATTTAGGTGGCGAACTCTCTCAGGCGTCTGAATACCCATCCATACCTCCACCTTTATTGTTTACTTGTTTTTTGCTTCTAGTCAGCTACTAGCTGCGCCCAATTTTTAGCTATCATTATCATTTACCCCACCATTTCTCCTATAAATATTCGACCCACACCATCTAGAAACTTTTGTATCAATGTCACCTTCATTCATCGCAGTCAAATACTTCAAAGTCAAGAGGACAGACCATTTATATAGAGCATCATGATCAAAGTTGTCTCCAATATCGTCGTAATGTCAAAATCTAGTATTTATATACCATGAGTTTATGCTTGAAAAGTTTTTTACGCCTGGTATGGTATTATGATTTCCCTTTTATATTTCAATCTTTAAGAGTTTTCCAGTCATTTCAGGTCAATAGTCATTTTTGTTTTGAAACTATATAGTCATAAGTTGATTTAGTAGCTTTAAACAATCCATAATGCTTTGAATGATGATAACTAGTAGTTTTGTATGAAGGCTCCACAATCATTTATGCTTGTCTACCACCATTTTTAACTTCTCCACCGTCTTTATTTTTGTGTACAGCTTTGAATAATGATGGTCGGTAGTTTATTTTTAGACTACATAAATGAGAACCTTTGTGCCACAAGTCATGAAATGAAAGTTTGAGTTTCTCTACTTGTTTTGACTTGTGTACTTTTTCATATAGTTAACAACTTTTTCAATAAAGTTGTAGCTTACAGTTGGAGGACTTCCAAGGATCAGAAGGTTATTATTAAACGTATGACTGCTCATAACAACAATCTTCTAGATATTTTATCATCATATTTATTTACAGCTTCTTTTATTCTTTTAACCGCTTTCATTCTAGGATTTCATCTATATTGGTGTCAAAGCGACCGGTTTAAGAATAACATCTCTGTTTGAAAAACATTTCATCTTTCATTGCAAGATGTTTCTAGCTCAGACTTCTGGATACTTTAAAATTTTATGCTTTCAAATGTACTTAATTCAATCTTCTAAGAAATTATCTTTAAATTTAATTTTTCCCATTTATTAAAATTTAAATTGATTTTTCACGTAATTATCTAAAAACTTAGCCTTTGGTAGGATGGATCAACCCTCTCATCCATCATCATAGTAAACATATAATTTGTCCTATAACAAGGAAAATGGAATGATCTAGAAGTATTATGGATGAAATTTGCTCAATTCAGGAGAAAAGGATTAAAACCTCAAACAACACTCAATAGAATGAATAGAAAATGAAGAATCAAATAGCAACCCCCAAACTGTTAGAAAAAGGCTAATGTTGATGAAGAAGATGAGCTACTAATTCCAAGAAACATGTTATTTCTAACCACAATCTATGAGATCAATTCTTTCCAATTCACGCAACTAGACCATACACATGCACACAAACACGATACATTCTTATAAACATCATTTTTAAAAAGGTTGTAAATAGTTGGGAAAATGTCTTACAATATACCCATCAACTAACAAGGCGTGCTAACACATGCATGGTAATGCCCATGCAATCTAAAGAAGGAACTAGATACAATAGTAAGAAGCAATCCAATAGTTTTGGAACCCCATAAAACATAGACATGGAAAATAGAGGACTCGTGACAAAAGTAGCTTGATGATATGATAGAATTTAAAATATAAAAACATGCAAAAGACAAATGATGCACAATAATTTACAAACAAATAACTAAAAAATAAAGAGCATATAAATATATAATCTTTAGCATTCTCAAACACAAATTAGGAACTAGTGGAATGATAACAATTTTAAAAAGTAAAAGATGCAAGATTCAGAGTGAGTAATCATAAAAAGGTCGATTTAGTCAGGGTTCAAGCAGCATATGTTTTTTCCTAGGCATGTCCACCCAATGTCAAAGAAAAGTTCAGTAAGAATCCAAAAATATTTTAGAAACACTAAAAATTGAAACAAGCCAAATGGTTAGCTCAAAACAAACTCCTAGGATGCCCAAAATGTCCAACACATTACATTTATTAGTTTTTCCTCGTAGAAGTCTGTCCACACTTCATGTTAACATAACTATATAACTGTGAAAACTTCATATTTTCAAATTTATTCACTATAATTAACAGCAAAGCGTCCTAATGTTGATCATTAACTATGGCCCACTAATCCGGCAATGAGACCTCGTTTAGATATCATTAATTAGGTCAACTATATGATTTCTTAGAAACAATGTGTAATTATTCATAGGCATGCTAAACAATTTAAACATGAAAAAATACATCCTCAGATTTCCAGTAATCTAAGTAATAGATGGAAACAATACCAATAAAAAGAAAAAATTCATAACCAACAAAATACTATAACAGCAAGGTAACGTTATTTGACTAGGTAAAAAAATTGTTTGACTAGATTTCCTGAAAGTTACGTTAAAAGGACAGATTCCTTTTTTCATTACTTTTTTCGAGCATTAGCAGTCTGCATAGATAGAGAGCAACAACTTGTCTGAGCAGTATTTTGTGCAGACTTTATCATATCAGATAGCAGATAACAGAATTTAACGTTCTGAAATTTTGAAATTAGAGTATACTAGAAAAATTATGCTTCCAAGTTTCTACCATATAGAAGAAATAGTCAAAGATATTCTCACCGTGGGTGGCCTACGTAGGGAATATAGCATTGTCTTGCAGGATAAGATAAATACATCCTCATTATAAGCCAGTGATCTAGTTTCCCCATGAGGTGTATTAGCTGAATTTGCATAGCCTGGCTCATTAAAGTAGGGCTTGGCATTCAAAACCAAGGCTTGGATGGAGACTAAAACCTGCAGCATTGTCGAGTTTGTTGGGTTCCATTTCTCGCATCCATGGCCAGACCATGTATTAAGAAGGCTAAGGCAAACTTTTCCACATGCATACAAGTTTGGATTCAGACGAAGTCCTCCGGAATGATAATGGACCATCTGCATGGTGTTTAAGAAAATATGTTTTATCATCACCGAACCCTTGTCTTGAATGCTGAAAGTACAGTTAGATGCAATTATAACACCATACCGGGGGTACCATGGGATAGGCTGGGGGAAAGTATACGTCAAAGAAGAAGAGACCATCATGATAAGGAGTTCCAGCCGGTCCAATGATGACAGCACGAAGAAGGTCCATACGATCTTCGTAAATTCTAACATATATTGTCTCTGTAAGGATTGGGGGTTAAGTTAGTCCATGAAAATAAAAACTTTCAAGATGAAAACAAGCAGCTTATATGGAACGTCAAAAGCAAAGTTCTGTAGACTAGAAGACAGCACACCAAACAAGAAAACTAATGTATGATTCCAACTGCCTGAACCTCAAGGCAAGGTAAACAGCATCTGAAGTAAAAGTTACAAATGCTGAAAAATGCCTGTCGCAATATTTCAACCCGAATGAAAGAATGTACTGATACATAAAAATAAGTAAATTATATCATCCCTGTTATGAGCTTCCTACAAAACATGGTAAAGCACTTGGGACAAACCACTGCAGTTTAATTTTCAAAACAATCCTAAACATTTCAACGTATTTCCTTATGTGAAAGACAAGAAATGAATGGGCATGCTCTCCTTTTTGGTGTCACTATAGCACAGACTTCTCCGCAGCCTCCAAATAAATTTAATAGATCACAGGTTTTTTTTGGTACAGGTCTTCAAATTACTAGCAATTTAGAAAAACAAATACAGTACATATTAATCCCTGCAGCTAAAAAGTAGCCCAGAAAATTAAGTACGCACTTCTTAATTATCTTGCTTAAACAAATGCTGTTTGAAGAAACAACATAGAAAACTCAATATAAGTAAAACTTAAGATTTGGAAAAAAGAACAAATATTGCTATGGAGTACAAATTATGCAACAAAAGGAAGCAAAAAAATTAGTATAGATGTAACTTCTGATTTTTAATCCATTAGTTATTTTTCTCTATTATTAGTGAGCATGTAGTGAGGTAGCAATGCAATGGCTAATACTTAGGATCTGAACTGAGTTTCTAGTCTGAGTTTTTTTGTGTTAATAGATTACTAGATGCATTTTAAATGCATTGCTGTGTATTTTTGTACACTAACGTGTGTTTCTTTCTAACCGAAGAAAAACCAAAAAAACCCAACAACATAGATCCACATCAACGCACCCCTGCAGTCATTGTTCCAAATTATAGCTTCCATAGATATCACTGTACAAAGGTCTTCTGTACTTTCTCATCCACATCTGTTATAATTATTAATGTAATCTAGAAGTATGTCTATCAAAAACCAAATCTGTATTGGAATGACAGAATGGTTACTAACTCCATCCAATGAGAATGCCAAATATATCCTAATTTCAAGCCTACATTCAATTATGAAGCCATAGATGCGATCTAGCAATATCCTTATCACATTGATTTCTTGTGTTTTTCCATTGATTCTTTCTAAGTTATGAGTAATTTTTAGTTTCAATTTCATATGGATTAATTGAAACAATATACTTGGCATGATATGACAGCCACCCAGCTTTCTGGGATAAATTTTAAAATAGGTTTGATTACTAGCATATCAAGATCAACCTTAGTTCTTCCTCAGTTCACAATCCATAGCAAGGGGTATTAGGGCCAAGGTATGTTTGGGTGTTAGTGACCGACGCATAGTACACATGGCTAGGTCCCAAAGTTTCTACATTCTATGATGAAAGGCATGATAGGACAGAATTTTGGCATTATTGGTAGATGGAACTTGATTTAACATAGGTTTTCGCATTTGAAAGGGATGGTGGGCAGGGGCGGAGCCAGAAAATTATTTTAGATGGGGCACAAACTATTAAATTTAAAAATATCTTCAATCATTTTCATCAAATCTTGATAAGTTAGTTACATATCTTGAAAATTTTAATAAGAACAAAATGCATAAATACAATATAGATTTTGATTTATTAGTTTATTTTATAATCTCCACAAATTTATTAAATTTGATAATTATATGCTTACTATATTGTTTTGCAAAAATTAAAATTAATCACTTATAGTAAAAAAATTGATTAAAATATCCCGACTAATTAGAGTAAAAATCTATGAAGATTTATGTTGATTACGTGTAAACATTAAACATCTTAATATTATGATGTTTTCACTATAAATTTTACAGTAATTATCTTCAATATTTATGCATTATCTATAAATTTAAATGATTTTATATAAGCTTTTAAATACAACAGAAATATATACTTTAATATTCATTAATAGGTTATAAAGTTCTGTTACTAATACAAATTTAATATAACTACTAGAATTTATAATACGGCAACAACAATAACAACAAAGCCTTAATCCCACTACGTGGGTTCGGCTACATGAATCCTTTTCGGCTACATGAATCCTCCTTTTTCTCCATTTCGTCCAATTTAGTGTCATATTTTCATTTAGTTCTAGTAAATTAAGATCATTTTTACAATAAGCCCAAGTCTTCCTAGGTCTACCTCTGTCTTTCTTAACACAAGTCGAATCTAAAACATCTACTCTCCTAATCGGATCATCAGATGGTCGACGTTTAATGTGACCAAACCATCTAAAGACAACTTTCTCTAATTTTGTCTGTCACAGGAGCTACACCAACCCTATCACGGTATATTCATTTCGCATTTTGTCTCTAAGTGTAACACCACTCATCCACCTAATCATTCTCATATCTGCAACACTTAACTTATTATTATGCTTCTCTTTTAAAGGCCAACATTCAGCGCCATAGAGCATTGCAGGTCTCACCACCATCTTATAAAATTTTCCTTTCAGTCTAAGCGGTACTTTTCTATCACACAAAAGGCCCGAAGCATTCCTCCACTTCAACCAACCAACTTGAATTCTACTATTAACATCC